TTGTAACTTGAATATTTTTGCTGCAAGATATTATAAAACTTTTGAACAGAGAATTGGATCAATAATATTTCAAGGAGATAATAAGGGTAAGGTCTAATGGATGACCAAATATTTTGACTTAAAAGCCTCAAGATCAGATCTTTTTTAGCATAAGCAACATATAAACATGGATATTCCATAGTCAATTGGAAAGGTGAATAGTGTATTTGGCTTAGGAAGATTAAGGCTAGTACTCCCAGAAGGAACAAGATTGTTCGGTAACTACAATTTCTGGATCAAAAGTAGTAATAAGACTACAGCCCATAAATCCACAAACATGTCTTTTACATGCAAGACACGAACGAGGCATGTGTATATTGATAAACAGCATGAAGTATAAAATATAAGACGTCACCCTCAAGATGCACTTGTGTGCATCTGAACATATTTTCAAGCAAAGGAGACCTGAGTTAGAAAATGATACCATACTTCTCTTTCATGTGATCCTTATTCTTATATCTCATCAAGCAATCTTCAACATGGCTACACAACTACACCACTATCCAGACTTTATCCAGAATGTAGTGTGGTTCTGCAAGCCAAATTCATAAAAATAATACGAATCCATTTTCTTTTTGACAATGGTATTAGCAGCTCCCATATTTGGATTCATGTTGCTCTTCTATGACCTACGTGACTAAAATTCAAGCATGAAAATAGCCTCTGATTGCAGAGATGAGGTTGTTGACAATTAACCCTCGTTAGCATCAGTGAAAGCTACGAGTTGGGCCATCTTATTTTATCAATAGTTGTCTCAAGGAAGTTTCTCTGTGCAATGTGAAATTTGAATCAGATGACTGATGTAATTTTCTCACAAGTCAACCGTTCAATGACCCGGTCAACAACCAAAATCTATACTAGATTACAGATTTCACCCTCAACCAAGAAAATATCAATAGTTCTCTCTTAATTGTTTGAGCAATCGGTATAATTACAAGCATTCAACATGAAAAATGTTTTTCGCCTATGTCCCTAAGCAAGAAACGAACTACACAGGCGTAATCTAACACATATTTCAAAGAATTCAAGTGGTCTATAATAATGAACCGATTTCAATCAAAATCCTCATTTAGCTAAAGCATAACCAACAGAATAATTCACAAGGAGCAGAACCTCATCCTTGCAAAAAGCAGCGGACGGAACCGAAAAGAGGAAAGGAATTAACGCAATAGAAGTAAAAGATGGCAAGATCAAGCGATTGAATTCGCACCTGATTCTCGCAAGCTTCTTCGCATGCTCGGCCTCAGAGGCCGCTTGATCATTGATCGCTTTCCCCCGGTCGCCACGCACGACGGTAGCGAGCACTTTGGCGTTGTTCTTGAGCCCCAACTGCCCCAGCGGCTTCGCCCGGCTGTCGTCCCTCAGGACCTTTCCCCCGCAGATCAGATTGACGCAGTCCGGGGCGGCGCCCGCCCGCCGAGCCACTTCTTGGCGGAGCATCGGCAGCGTCCATGCCTCCAGTTCAACCTCGATGACCCCCGACCACGCTCCGGCGATTCTCACCTTCGCCTCCGCCGCCGACTTCAGGTCGCCGCTGCCGACCGACGGTGACGCCGAGGTCGAAGTCGTCGTCGCCTTTTCTTCTTTCTCCATCGCGATTCGCAACCAACCGGTGAAGCCTTCGAGGGTTTTATAGCCTTACCTCTCTCTGCATAAAGTTCCCCGAGAACTGAAAACAAAATTATAATTATTCCTAGCGATATATGAAATTACTGTTTAACCCTTAATTATGATACGTAGATTCTATAGTGTAACAAATTAATATTCAATAAGGATCTTTTATGTGAAAAATCCCGGATTTTGGCAATAAATGAGATGATGAAGATCATGAGAAGAGAGATCATCAAAAACCTAATATCTCTATGAGAAATCCAAATATTTTTGTAGCAAATAATGAGTCCAGGATTTTTTAATTCTCGATCGAATAAAAATCTTATTTTTGATTTTTTTTAATTTGATCGATCAAATTTGATAGGGTGTTTTACAAATATATCTCTATAATTAAAAGAGATGGGCTTAAGAGACACTTTTGAAGCATCGAGATCCTTATAAAAGTCGTCTTGAGTGGGCACGTCATCGAAGAAGACTTGATTGGGAAGTCTCTCTTCTTTAGGATTCTTGGGTGGTAAGTTAGCCTTCCAAGTACTCATGTGGTCAAGGAAGCAAAGATTAACGAGAACATAATATGTAGTCTATGTTCTAATTGTATGAATCATATTAACAAAATTGTTAATATGATAGCTTTAAACCAAAGCCCGGTAATCATACGTCTAAGCTTTGAAACAAAGGTAATCAAAAGGTGCTCTTTTAGGGGTCGATAATATTGCATAATTAAAGTCATGCTCACCTTCCTATGTAGGTTGATGATTAATAAAAAGTGGAAGAAGTGTAACACTGTGACTCGATCTTACATGGAAAGTGAGCTTATGTTAGTAGCAAAGTTTGAATAAAGTTAGTAGATAAGTTATTCTTAAACTACAGCACCTTAGCCCCTTAGGTAAGCCAAGCTGGACCACGATAAAAAGAGGTAAAGATAATTAAAAATAAAAAAGTAATGGATGAAGAACATAATGGCTTTCTCCAACTAATTAATGATTCACGTCACAGTTAAATTTTACTTGATGGTTTCTTCTCTCTTCATAGGTAAGTTGGAGGTTTTGCTTTGGTTCATCGAATTGGTGCACCATCTCGAAAGTGCCTTATCAAATGCCTCTTTAAAAGCTATTAAGCTTATCAGTAACTCCGGGAAGACAAGGAGACCAATTTTGAGTTGAATGAGGAGGAAGATAAAAGGCTAATTTATTTATAATAATCTTTCGAGCTATTCTTAAACATCCAAATGAATTTTGAATGATTATTATAATACATAATTTTATCATAATCTTATTATTTCTCACAAAAGGTCAAACCATATTAAATCTATTAAATTTAATGATATTGTTTTTGACCAACCTTAGGAGATCAAGGAGAAGTTTGTTGATTTTTACTATAATTTATAGTTAGATCTGATAACTATTGGCTTTCACATTGATAACTCTCATCGTAATGATCTAATTAAAATCTTTCTTCTTCGTAGTGAAATTTAGGATATGATAATCATACGATTAAATTTTATAGAGGTTGTTGACTATTGTTTAATCATTTTTATTCTATTTCAATATTGTATGTTTCATAGGTTCAAACTTTTATCACTTTAATCTCTAATTGTCTCGAATCCAAAGTATAGACTAGACTTGAGAGGGTTTCTTATCGAATTTAATTATCATAAAACAATCTATTTTTCTTCTAAAGAGAAATATTCAGGATAATATTTTAGTGATCTATCTCATTCCACATAAAAGTTCAAGAGCAGAAATTCTTTAATTATTATTAAAATATTTAGATAAGTTTATCTTGAAAAGCTATTACTAATATTATAAATCGGAGAGCTATGACTAATATTATACACGCATATTTTCTTGATTTATATTTTTATGTCCTCTCTCGAGTCTGCACTTAATTAATGGGAACCCTCTGAGAAGGTATTAGTTGTCGGGTACGCAGTATCATTGACAGAGGAAGCCATCAGAATGAACTGAGCTTTGCGGCACCTGGGAGATCACAGCCATTACCACTCTCAAGCTGACAAAGCGAGATTAAAATCACCCAGTTGGACAGGTAGGTGATGGAAAGATTTTGCTCCCATCATCTCTCACGGCTGTAAAGCCACTGTCCACATGATTTGACGAGCATTTAACTGTTTACTGTAAAATTATATAGTTGTTTACTGTTCAAAGCTTAACCCATTACATGAGATGGGATTGCCGAAGGTTTCTCCCTATCCCAAAATCATTATTGTGATGCATATATTACCAAATCCAGCTTCTTGGTTAGAGGACTACACATACTTGGATTTTGTTGTAAATATAAATCGAATACTTTTCTCCCTTTCATAAACTATTTGACTATACCACCGATTATAAGATATTCTAACTCTAATCGTAAAGATGAACGTTAAATAATTTGATGTTTATGTATGTTAGATTATGTGGTTCTATTTAATTAGATAAGATATATTATGAATATGATTGAATTTTGATTATCATTATTGACTAATATAAAAGAAGTTCAATTAAGATAAGATTCATTCGGAGACATTTTTTACGAGAAAAACTCTCATAATTATTTATTCTAGACCATCTACCTTCATGTATAAATAGATAAGAGAACACGTAAGAAGACTATAAGAGTACGTGACATAGATGAAAAAGATGAGTCTAATTATTCTTACAGATTGAAATTTCAGATGTATATACTTGTAGATCAAATAAAATTTATTTATTTTTGAATAACAACAAGAGGTACGCTTCGTAATATTGTTTAGATCCATTATTGTTTGATTTCATATTCTAACATGAAATTTTTTTCACATTACAGATAGCATAATTATAGAATTTATGCTAACAATGTAAACTTAAATTTTATACTCAAAGTTCTCTTATCTAAATTAACCCAGCATTATTATCTCCAAAAGATTCACATAAGTCTTGGCAGAAGCAACGACATGAAGTTGATAGAGATGAAGGTTGAAAGTTTGTCAAAGGATGCGTCGAGTTTAGCTGTCCATGGACCGGGCACCACAATCATGGTCGCCCTCCTATCTTCTCCGGTAAAACAATTGAAACTTGAGCCTCAAGTTGTTGGCCATGGCAAAGTCCGAGGCAGTGTTTTGGTGAGCCTCACAGCCCCAGGCAGTGCCGCGCACGAATGACGAGAGAAAGAATTAAAACTCCTCGGGCTACTGCCTCTCTTGGAGTAGTTGACAGGGCAGAGCTCTCCGGCCAAGGAGAGGTTGAGCTTTGTTAATGGACAGGCCGAGGGGACATGGAAACAGCCCCCACGTTCTCCTCCTCCCTTGCTTTCTTTATTGCTCTCCCCACCCCCACAAGACTCTCTTCCCCTTGACAAAATGTAGTGTTCCTCATCACTAGGGTATTAGGATATGCCCTGTGCACTCTTCATAAAGACCTCCTCTAACCCTAACACATCCCCTTCGGTTTCGCCCAGTTCTACTTCCTCCCCCTGAGTTGCTGAATTCAAGATGGTCTGCGCCCTATTCTCTTTACATCAGTGTATGTTGACAGATTCAGCTGATCAGTTTATTGATCAATTGCTTTCCGGCTTCTTCGTGGTCATCAGGAAGCTGGTAAGCCGGCGTGGTTGGAGGCCCTCGACAAGCAACGATTCTTCGTGAGCTGCTCCGTGCACGAGAACGCGAGGAAGAAGGAGAAAAATATATGTTGTTTGGATTGTTGCACGGCGATTTGCGCCCACTGCTTGCGGTCTCACCACGGCCACCGGCTTGTGCAGATACGGCGATACGTTTACCATGACGTCGTCCGGTTGCAGGACCTCGACGAGCTCATCGACTGCTCCAGTGTTCAGGTTACAACCTATAAAACCAGTGTTGTTTTAGTAGAGCATATAATCCGTGACGGTATCTAAATGATACAGTCTCATCTGATGCATGCAGTCGTACACTATTAATAGCTCGAAGGTGATCTTCCTCAAGAAGCGTCCACAGAGCAGACAATTCAAAGGATCAGGAAACATATGCACCTCCTGTGACAGGACCCTCCAAGAACCTTACGTTCACTGCTCGCTGGAGTGCAAGGTCGGCAACACAGTAAACCATTTTGCGGGTCACATGGATTGAACGATAAGACTCGATCCGATTGTCTTTTTTGCTTGCAGGTGGATTACATATCAAGAGAAGGCAAGGATTTCTCGCCGTACCTCAGGACATGTCGATCACTGCAATTGAACCCTGAGCTCATCACGGCGCCAGAAGCCGATGCTGGTGGAGATGATGGAAACGAGACGACACGCTCGACCGTCGTCCAAGGTGAGGATGATGCTATGTGCTCGTCGGACTCCGAGAATTTTAGCATGCCATATGTTAGTTTCATCCGGAAGAAGCGAAGTGGGCTACCATGTCATTGTTCGAGGTCAGCTAATAGAACGAGTCACGATGGCATAGCTGCAAGCAGCAGCAGGAGGAAGGGCATTCCACAGAGATCTCCTTTGTGTTAGAAGAAACTGCTGCCATTTTTGTCTGCCATCATCTTCTTGCTGCATAATAAACCACTCGTTGAGTCTGTAAGTTTAGTGTGTAAATGGCATCACGTGACCCTCAATTCCAGGCTTCCATGTACAGTTTCCGAAGAGCCAGTTAAAACACCACTTAATTAGTCTGCATGAACTAAAGAACTCGAGTTTAAATGTTTTTGGTTTCCTTTTCTCTCCCTTCCATGTGTTTATGGTGTGGCCGATGTTTAGCGTCATTACAACTCTTGCACGCTTTGTGTATCGTGCCCATCTTACTCTGCCATGTCCGACTGTGAGGAGTGAGCTTAATTTGGCATGTTCCTGAAGCCATATACTTTGGAGCAGCAACAAGCGCAGCTGGGAAGCTCGGGAGTTACACTCTTACCCCATCACGAGATTATTAGAACATAATACCAAATACAAAGACATAAGCGCTTTGCTACATGATAATAAAATAGTAATAAAATAATAATAAAATATATTTAAATAATAAAACAGTAAAATACCTCTATTTCCTTAGATAAATTCGGACCAAATCACCAACATTAAACTTTATATATTTTCTGTGTTTGTTGGTAGCTTCCATGTACCTCTCTTTCATATAGTTTCTTTATAACGATGCATAAAACGATCATAGGTAAACTCAATTTGTGGAAGAATGAAATCCCACTGTTTAATATTCTTACCAACATACATTCTAAGCAATTTCTCAAGTTTTTGTTCGTTAGTGTCTATCAATTTATGGATAATGTGAGCTGTTGAAATTCAAAAAAATACTTAATTTCCTTCAAAAAAATTCTTCAAAAATGACTAAAAAATTTTGAATCACGATCAATAATAAAACATGAAACACTATTATACTAATGAAATATTCAATAAAATTTCATATACTTACATTGATATTTTATGTATGATGATTCTCATAAGAAAAAAAAGAGGAAGAGTAGAAAAAAAAAAAAAGAGGAAAAGAGAAAAATAAATTTTTAATATACTTACATTGACGTTTTATTTCAAGGAGAAAAGGCCACCGAAAAGAAGGATAGGTCCTAAAAAATGCTTGTTCTCACACTTCAAACAGAGCTGGAGAAAAGCTTACCGATGACATTTCCAAAGAAAAACAAGTAATCCAACCAAGTTCTAAAACAAAAGGTTATTCAGGACAACATTTTAAACTAATGAAAGTCTCATCTACGCCAGCCGAATGAGTTTTATTTGGAGAAACGTTCTGAGAAATAGATTGAAGTGACAACCGAATGAAGAAAACACCAAAACATGCTAAGCCCTATGTGTTGACTATAATTTCGTCCGATTCCATCCTCATCATATCATATAAGAACTATGTTTCATGAGTTCAAATCGAGCTGTGAAATATAACAAGTTGCCAGAGCACACTCGTTTTCCTGGATGAATTGATTTCCACCAATTTCATAAAGGAGCTCTTCCCTTTGCCTGAACCAGGGCTATAGTTCAACTACAACGAATGTGCAGCGCCGCCGAGCCTATATAAGAAAGAAAGCTTATTCTACAAACAATTGTTTGTATGGTACATTTAAGATTCTAAAATTCCAATCAGGTCAAAAAAAGAAGGCTTCACTAGGATTATGAGAAAACGTAATTAGCTGACGGGTACAATCATTTGCTGCCCATTGTAACATGAGCGGGGAAGAATCTGACATGTCTACACTGTCTCAACTTAACTACAGCATCTGGTGTTCTCCCTGATAGAAGGTCCACATAGATGGCAGCAAGCACAGCTCTTGGATTGGTGGGCAGAGCAGACAGGGCTTTCTTCACCAACAGGCTAGCCTGTTCAACATTTCCTTGTACTGCAGAAATTGCAGCAAGATTTACATATAGCACTCCACGAGCCTCTTCAGGCTTCATAAACATCATACCTTGGAATTCTTCACTAGTTTTGGCATTATGTTGACCATTTAACTCGTCGCCATCCCCATTTCTGTCTATTCTCCACTTCTCCCTTTCTTTGTCACTGTAAGGCAACTGGACATCGTTTTCTTCTAAAACATAGAATGACAAATACTCAGCTGCTTCTTCTGGTCGGTTCAGATAGCAAAGTGCTTCAGCCGCATATACATGACTCAGAAATATGTACATTCTAGAACAGTCTGACAATTGCCTAAGTTCTTTTGCAGCAGATAATGCTTTCAATGGATTTCCTAAACTCAACTCCACATAAGCTAGATTCCCAAGAACAGCCTGCCTTATCATGTTGTTTTCTTTTCTGCATATTTCCTCATATGAAGAAAGAGCGCTCTGCAATGTCATGTTCAAGATTACTCCTCCCTTGGTTTCTTTAAAATCGCCATTACTAACAGGCATGGAGGCTGATGCTGCACTAGATGCCTTTAAATCACCTGCCAACACATTATTGTGGTTCCAGTTCTTGGCACTTGCAGAGGTTTCCTGATTGGAATCATCATCTTCGTTTCTAGAGAATGAAGCACTCGACTCTACCTTTCCATTATTATTCAGTAAATACAGAGCATTAAGGAGACACCGCCGAGCAAAAGGAAGAGAGAGTCTATGTTGGCCATCAGAGGTGATTAGACCATCCTCTACTGAGCGGTCAATATATTTATGTGCTGAGCTGAAGCCATCAATCACCAATCGTCTCAATCTGCCAGATCCAACAACATGAACTTTAACCTCCTCCTCATCTGATAATGAAGAACCACTCTTTCTCGGAACACCCTTTTCTAGAGCTGACAAGCAGCATTCAGCAAATCGGAGCCAGAGAATGGGTCTGTTACAAAATATTGGTTGGGTCTTATCAAAACATTGAGCCGCAACCAATGGCCTTCCACGCAGCAAGTATTGCAAGCCACAGTTGTACATTATAAAAAGTGATTTATCCTGAGAAAAGTTAGAAAGCTTTAGTGGCTTCTCGGACCGCAGGGACACAGTGCATTCTAAAGCTTTAGAGAAGAAAAAAATTGAAGTGTGATGTTTCCCAAGCTGGTGATATATGCACCCCATATTGTTGTTGAAGATACAAAGCATGCCTGGCTCAGACCTATTACTTGATGTCATCAGTAATTTGATGGCCTTCCGATGATTGCCACGAGCATATTCTAACTGAGACTTTAAAAGGAGTGCTGTAGATGAATCTCCAAAACGTGCTATGTTCATGGCAAGCTTGATTTCACGCTTGGCAGCCTTCAGGTTCCTTGCATGCAGAAGCAATCGAACCTTGTAAAGATGCAAATTTAGCTTCATATCGATGGCAGATGCTGCTTGGTCAGCTGATAATTTCAAGTTATCAGTTAGGATGAGCCTCTCCAAGTTCTCAGCACCAGTATCTAGTTCTGAATACAAGGTTTCATATTCTACTGTCTCATCAGTATTTTCCGGAACATTTCCATTGATGCTTGATTCTGCAAAGGAGACATCTGGAGCAGGGATGTTACTTGTACTAGCAACTTTCAATCCTGGGTTTGTCTGTTGTTGAATGCTGCTGCCACAATCTCCTTGTCCTACATGACCAATACCAAAAGATTTTTCCAGGTACTGAATAACATCCTGTAACATAAAAATAAATTCTTTGAACAAACCAACATCCATGCCCACACAAATATTACTCAAATCCATAGATCATAAATTGGAAAGATAAATCACCTAATCACATTATAAGTCAGCAAGATGTAAAATTATATGTAGCAGTGTACGACCATATGAGCACTTCTATAATAGGTTCTAAAATGAAAACTTTGGTGCCAGCCTAAATTTCATTGCCATGAATTATCACCTGAATTATAGGTTCTATAATAGGTAACGGTGGCCCATCCATGAATTATCTCCTGACATGTTAACTCAAGCAGGTTTTGATGCCAGAGGGAGTGCCAAAGAAATAAATAAAGGGAAAACTTTATGCAGAACTAAAATTAAATGCGTAAGGCGCAGGTATTCAGGGTAGCTTTTGAGAAGTTTCTTGATCCATGTTAGCAGCAGTGATGCAAGACAATGGATCCAGACTCTCTAAACATATGTGCAGTAATGAATGAAACGATTATTGGATTATTCAAGGCAAACAGGAATGTAGACAATAATCCCAATTGTCACAAATATGAAGTTAATATGAGCATGATAGTGTCAGCCGAGAACAGAAAAGAAATATCTCAAGCAGCACAAAAATGTAAAGATTCACGGAGTAACATCAGGTTGTCAAGATCATTACATTACCAGGTATCAAAGACTTCGAAACTTATGCAATTCACATGCTTAATCTAAAGCATTATATTAGACTGCTTGTCATAATTATTTATATTGAATTTAAGATGAGAGAACAGTAACAAAACATATCTAAAAGAGTTGGCATTTATTGTTGTCGGGTCAGAGAAAACCTGCTGATATTCTTGCTCTTCGGATCAAACTAAGAAATCATTTGTATACAATTTTGAGGGCTAGAGTTTAGGGTTCTAGAAGCGTGTCAAAGGTGATTCCAAATGGACATGGAGCCGTAGAGCTGATTAGACTCTAGCTTAGAGGAGACAGTTTGATAGGAAACATGGTGCAAGATAAAATGAAATTTGTGATGTTGGAAGTATTTAGTTGGACTCAGGATGCTGATTTATCGTTTTTATTGCCAATGTAAGGAGAACTGCAGTAATATGTCAAAAAATGACAAAAGTTGTTGCATAGAATTCCAAGTGTTGGATTAAAGATTGAAGGAAGGGCATGGCAAGTTTTTCACATATACATGATCAACCATAGAGGGTGAAAGGGTGTGAGAGATATGCTGTTTGAGGGGATAAAGAGAAAAAAAAGAAGATATCAAATGAGTCAAGGAGAAAAATAGGGAGGTCGAGAGAAACAAAATCCAGAATCTCTCCAGGATTTCACAGATTATGAAAAAAAGCAAAAGCTCAAACACATGCTGATTCTTGAAAATCACACCCGGAATGAGCCACTTACTAATGCCTTCAGTATAAAATAAATCAACAAAGACCAAGTACGGCAAACTCAGACAAATTCCTCAGCAAATAATAATGAATTCCATCCAAAAGCATCACAAATAAATCTCAAGTAAAGATTTATTTTCTGTGGCTTGAATCCATGCTGATCAGCTGGCATGGTTCTGTCCCATAGCATGTCATCCCATTATCAAAATCCCATCATAACTCAAAAATTCAAATCTTGGAAAAGGAAATGTCGAGAACAGAATAATTTAAAATGGTGAAGAGATAACAGATGAAACCCCACTTGATTGATCAAAAGGCATGGCTCAGAACCAAAAAAAACAAAAGATCAAACATGTCATGCTAAGCATCATGCTAGTTCAAGGGCTTGATCTCAGACAAGAGATAGGCATTCATGTGAACATCGTGTTGGCACAATACATGCCAATCGGCAATGGCAATTGACAATGCAGACATCAAGATGTATCATCTATCCAAAGATGTATCATCATGCCAATCGGCAATTGGCAATTGACCAATCACGTAGTTAATCAATCATCTTAAGAAGAGACTACATAGCTCCAAAATTCATGTATCATCTATCCAAACATTTGTTAGAAATTGTGTGTAATGCATAAATCACTACTTCAAGATGGTCTCCATCAACTATTCCCGAATAAAATTGAAGTAAAATTGTGTTTGGATTGACCACAATGATGAAAACAACAAGAAGCCGATGAAGAGGTATCTGAGTCAATTGAGCTAAGTTAAATGACAAACCTTAAGAACTATAGAATTTCGATTAAGTAGGACTAAGATTGAATATATGAAATGTAAATTTAGAAACACTAAGAAAAGAACCAAGTTAGGTCAATCAGTTTTAACAGTGTGAGGAGTGATAGAACATAACCTAAAAAGAAAAGTACCAGAAACGATAAAAAGATATATTTTCTTGCACTGAGCTAAGCTACAAGAAAGATATACGTAACTGGAAATATCCATTTAACCGACCCCAACTAGTTGGTGGACATTAAGCTACTTCTTGTATCATACATTAAATGTATCACAAATAAGTTTCTGCAGATGTCAGGAGTGGTAAGAGATGGCTAAGAGATGTACTACTTCCCTTTGGTTGACCTACGGCTTGGCCTTCATTTTTCAGGCTCCCTTTGCATGAATCATACTTTATAAGTTAAAAACATATAGACTATATATATTTAGTAATAAGTTAAATATAATTTACATACTAAATTAATAATTACAACTTACCTATATTATATTTTATATATTATATATGTTAGTTTATCAGATAAATTGGATACAAAAATATAATTCAATGTACAGTCTTGGTTCACAGCCAAAACCAAACTGAACTAAACAATCATTATGAGCTGGACCACTTAGACTTACACAGAAATTTGTACAGTATTCTTGAGCCAATCCAGGTAATTCAGAAATCAACCAAGTGGACCAACTCATGTTTTATCAACTGACTAGGTGTCGTTAAAAAGACTAAATAGGCCCAAATCACTCCTCTTATATTAACTCGGTTCAACCCAATTCATTATATAAACATATTAACAGTGCCGAGCCAAATCTCGTACCAACCACAATCCAACACATTATTATATTTATCCAATTCATTATCTCTATATGATCTCTTCACTCCTCTCACCTTTAATAAGCTACGAGACTCCAATAGGGCACATGCAGATGGCATTGGTCAATCACAGTGGTGATAGCAGTGATGGCAGCCCCAATGGCCAATGGTGATGACAACAAAAGACAACAACAACAATGGCAAATCAAGAAGTTAATCAGTCTGCTTTTCCACTTATTTTCCTAGGTCCACTCTCCCACTTTTCGTACCTGCCCATCTGATCTCCTTCACAAGCCCTTCCCTTCCCATTTGATCTTCCTCCCTCTACCCCTTTTTCTTCTCTTTCTTTTCTTCAACTTTTCATCTTTTTTTATTCAGACAACGAAATTCCAAGCTGAAATCAAATAATCTTTACCAAGATAGGCTAACTTAATTCACTCCCACCAGATCATTGCTTATTGGCAGCCAACTTCTCAATAACCCAAGTCATCGAGATACTCAGATTACCAAGGGTCAATCCCCATAATCATCTACTTCTAAAGTTGAAGTACCAGATCAAGGCAAGACTTTTTTAAATAGTTATTTTAGAACTCCAAGAAATAAAAATACATTGGCAACAGGAAAAAAGAAAGTAGATCATTTACGTAAGTCCATCCATTTTGGTCTAGTTACATACTGACCCCTCTGCTATTGCTATTTACAACATGATACCAATTTTTTCTTCAATTTTACATCCTCTTTCTATGGCAATAGGCATCAACTTTAGCCAAATATTATAAAAATCTAGAGTTTTGTTTACCCTTTCCAAAATCAATATTTGGAAAATATGCCCATATAATTATGTATCTCTAAACTTCCAGTCCAATCCCTCTACCCACAAATGGCTGAATCCAATCTTCTCAAATTGGCTTTTCGATCATCGTAAAAAGATTGGTTGATTCGAAGTCAATTCCAAGTATTAAACCTAGACCCACAAGGAGGAACATTCAAATTGAAAGCTTAGATCCGAGAATAATATTGGAGAAAGATGGGCACTTATCCCTCTTGACTGCAGCAAATCATTGAATGAACTTCAAGCTGCTATTACAGTAAGTCTCTTTCAACTTCACATAACAGTGGAATAGAGCAAAGGTTGGCATAGTAAGGGACGAGGGTCGTTTGTGTTAGGAGGAAGAAATACTGGGGAGGAAAGTAAGGGAATCCATCTACAAAATACAAGCCTAATTATGGTACTGTACATTTGTGACAAGCTACCGAAGGGCAAAAGCTTAGGCAGCAGAACTGGTTGGGAGTGGTCCACACATAACAAAAAGAAACCATCAGTGTCATTGTAAAAAATAGTGAAGAGAGAAGTTTAAAGATTTAATAAAACAAATGGAGGGCCACTTGTACAAATAATTAGTGCAGGTTACATCATAATGAACAACTACCTCTATCCCAAGATATAAGTCAAACATAATCATCAAAGATCTCTGGAGAAAAAAACACAAAGTGCTCTTTTAAGTCAACGAATGTGTTTCAAAGTCATTAATTATACAAAGGCCTCAAACAATAAGAATGAAGTTCCACTTATCATGACAAAGGCAAGCTAACTGTGACCAACATTTTGCCAATGTCAAATCAATCATGCACAAAATTATTGACCCCATTTATTTATCATAGCTTTAAATTTAAAATAACAACAGCTAAATGTGATCATAGCATGCACAAAAACAGATATTACAACTTTATACAAAAAAGCATAATAGTTAATGGTTTCAGAGTTCAGCTTATGATGAAATTGGTGCAACTCCAATGGATCAGTCAATTAACTCCAATTCTTTTTTCCTTTATTTTTATCAAGATCAACATAATTATTAGCAACCATATTATTGGTAGTGTATTTGATGAAGACACAAAAAATTGATATATCGAAGGAAGGATCCCAGCATCTCAAAAGAGAGCTCTGTATCATAATCAATACACTCAGACAATGTGTATCGCAACATTTTCATGTTGTGCTCCACACCATAGAATGTAGAACCTACATTGGGGCAGCAAAAGAAATGACACCTCAGGTGTAAACTTACTGCAGCTTTTGAAACGTCTTGGCAGGCTGATGCAATATCCAATAGAAGAAGGCACACATTAAGAGCTATTCTCTGCAAAAACAAAAAGAACTAAGTAAAGAAAAAAAGAAGAATCACCATATGAATACATAAGATGAATACGAACTGAGAAAGACCTCGTCAACAGGCTCAATATTCTGAAATAATTTTTCAAGAACCGATAATGCATGTGCATATTCATGCACATGGTAGAGAACGACAGCCTGTGGAGCACCAAAATTAACAAACATATCAGAATGCTTTGATTTGTGCATTCAATGGTGCTGGTTAAAGGAACTTCTACTCAAAATTTAAAAAAAATAAAAAATAACATAGATATACATACAATGTTCAGCATTATTACTGAAGTGCCACACTCCTCTGCATAAAGAATTCTGCCACCATTTATAGCAGAAATTTGCTGTAGTGAAGCATTATTCACTTTAGATCCAGAAATCATAACATTCCCACTACCATTCCCACATTCGACCTGTTTTCCAGAAGAATGTGCAAGTGCTTCACTTTGCTCCTATATAAGAGATAATTAGTCCAGAAAAATGAGCAAGTAAAGTGCATCAGATAATTATTAAAAAAGATCTATCACTTTGGATGTTAAAACCAGACTCTCACTTACAAGTATAAAATGTTGGTCCAAAGAGTGAGATAGATCATAGAAAAATAACTAGACAGGTAATCAAGACTTTATTATCATTTACAAATTTTGTCCAAATGTAGAACAAATGGTGAAAATATGCAGTCTGAAGAAACATAGAAGATTGGCAGAAATCAAAGGAAAGGTGATAGATGACTCCCAAGTAACCACAATAGCTTCTGGTATAGCAGAGACGAGAGACTTCAAAGATTACCTATCATAAACCTCAAATTTACAATTGATAGCTAAAAAGAATAGTTTAATAGGCATGAAAAGAAACACCATGCTAGTTCTATATCAACAGAGGGCAGAGATTTTGTGGAACAGTTTAAAGTCACTGGAAAAATACATCAATGTTCATCTAAAAGAGTGATCATTTTCAGGAAAATCACTTCAAAACAAGCAATGAAAAGTCTGTTACTATAAAGAACTGGAAAATCATTACACAACAAAATTGCATCACTTGAATTTCTTAATGCGTATCTTGAAATCCAGTTCATCAGAAACACCTACATCACATGAATTAAGTGTATAACTATTGGGTGTCATGCACATCCAAGAAGCAAATCTTCCTGACGTGGGAATACAATCTAGGCGGTAGTCTTGTAACCACATCCTCGATTGGTCTGATCATAATTCATAAGAGCAACTTAATTCATTTCTTAGATCCCATTAGGCATCAGTAACTCACCATACCTCAAATGATAAATGTTCTTACCATAATTATCCAAATAGTACTTAACTTTAGTTACAAAAATCTAAAAGACTTATATAATGATTAAACTTGTGTAAGTATATATTATGCCTAAGCTTTTCTAAACTAGAAACAATGTACAAAATTCCTCCAGTGGAGTGAATGGAAGGAAACACTTTGAGCTTTCTTTGCCAGAACCTAATGTAATGGTTGGCATTTCTAAAACCTGACTTCTTGGACCCTCCAAAAGTCAAAACCGAGAAGGGAAGCAAGGAAGTTTCAACAGTGGGAATCCTTGTAAGCTACTTAAACCTTAATGTTCCACTTGTATCCTTCTATTACATCAGAATATATATATATATATATATATATAGCTTTAATAAAATGCCAAACAATGTATTATTAATTGAATAAAATTTGCTTAAGTTAAAACTGTGTTAACATGATGAGTTTTTGACATGCTCTCTGAGATTAATAGTTAAAGCCGACAAAAGAAATAATCTTGCAACAAATCCATACAAAATAATAAGCCTTGATTATCAATATGTCAAAAATTAAATGCAAAATTAGCATTACTTACTTTAACCTTACAAAGGAACTAAAATATTGTGATGAATATATGATTCCAAAAAAGATTCTTCCATTAGAATGATAAAAAACCCAGGAAGTGTAATCAACTGTAGAACGGCATTACTTACTTTAACCTTACAAAGGACATCAAGCAGATTCCTAGGATCAGAACAACCATCTCGGTAGTGTTCTGCAACAAGAATGTTATGAACAACCTGAAATTCAATACAAAAATGCCAACTAAGATTACACACTCACTTGACAACAAATCAGCACACCAAAAGTACTAATACTCTTTTATATGCAAGTCATCAGAAAAACATAGTACTGAATAGTTCAATAACACAATATAAGTTCAATGAATATGAAGCAGATCTTAGGACACACACATTCTAATTTATACATATTCAATTACAGAAAAAAGTGCAGTTAAAATACTCTTGCTCCTCCCTCCTGCAAAAATGACATACCACATTTAATCAAGCACAAATGCTACCAAGGAATATATCTTAAACAGACGAACAAAAGGTTTTCAATTTCATGGCAAACCTCCAAGCTTGTAACAAGCAAAAAATAATTACCAAATCAAAGGAACCACAAAAAAGAGCTTACAATGTTCCAAATTCATGGAATGTAAAGGCTCTAAGGTGATTCATGTAAACATTGAAAAGTAAAGATGTGACAAAATTATATATTAAATTAACGAAAATTTCTATATAGAGCTAATGAACCAAAATTTTGACATAAATTAGTTTATTCTTTTAACACATTGCACCTAGATAAAAAATATTTATAACTATGCAAAATATAGCAATCAACGTATGAGAAAAAAAAAACTGAATACACAAAAAAGAATCAACTTTTTCCATGAACATCTGCTCTCTTCCATTAAAGGACCTTGAAAATTACAAGGAATGCCTGAGGCCTACACCTCCTGGATCAAGGGCATCAAGTAATAAAAAGAGGGAAACATATGATTAGAACTCAAAAGCGAGTTCACCTGCAATAAAGTTTCATATTAAATTATTTGGCAGCTACTGAAGATAACCAGAAATATATGAGGGAGAAGGGAGGAGAGAAAATAAGTAGTGATTGCAAATAAAGATAAGAAATCCATTACAGCATCCTCTTCAACAAGTGGTTCTCCAATATAAGGTGAAGAAAGAAGGCCTTCCCAAATATTAAAATTTTAAAAAATACATATTACGATTGATAAATATATAACAAAAAAAATGACACATTGATATAAAGTACCAAGTTACAATGCAGGAAATAATAGCAGATATCAAAGTTGAGATGTTCCTACGTAACATGATTTATAATTTTATATAGAGGTCCTGTATGCACAAGTTCGAATCACCAGCAACACAAAAACAATCTCTCCACATGGAGATGTCAGGGAGGGCTTAAAAATATTAGTAATATTTAAAATAGAGAAAAACGAAAAGAAAAGCAACAATAAAGAGAATAAAATAGAACATCAATATAACAAGGAAGAAATGCTATGAAGTGCAGCAGACATGCTGTCGGCCATATTAGTAAAATTGATAATCTAACAAAGTCATAAGTAGTTGAAGTCCCAAAACTAACTTGGTCAAAATGCAGATTCGAGAGAACTGATAACTACAAGATTTTGTGTAAGAAATTTACATACATTTGGACCATGGATACGAGCTGCAATATTTAATGAAGGGTCAGGGGGGAGGATAGTGGCAACCAACAGCGAAATGAAGTTGGTCGATGACATAAGCTCACACGTCGAAGAAATGAAGCTACAGAAGGCGGCATAGGAGGAGAGGCTCGAGGTCCAGTGATGTAGGGAGGAAGAGACACATGGTCTGGAGATGTAGGGTAGAGGAGGCTCGCAACCTGCCGACATAGAGCAGAAAAAGCTTGCGATCTTGTGGCGTAGGGTGAACAAAGCTCATGATCTAGCAGCGTAGGGTAGAGGAGTTCGCAACATGGTGGCATAGAATGGAGGAAGCTCGTGATCCGACAACATAGTGCAAAGGCAGCCTGTAGTAGGGTTTCTGATTCCTTACACTGGGTCAGGCGCGTGGGCTCGGGAGTGTGTGTGTGGAAGGGGCGTGTAAGTGCTATGAATAGTTGGTTTGGTTGAGCCAACTATGACAACTTGGTTGAACCTGGACTCATTTTGATCTGGCGCTAACTTGAGTCACCCAGTGCCTAGGCCCAAGTGCACGCTGGAGTGGCACCTCCTTCAAACCCCTCGCCTGACCCAGTTATGAGGAGCTCGGGCCTCACCTCACCTCGCCTCGCCCGAGCCCCTTTTGAAAACAAAATCCAATCAATAGGTAACGATTTGGATGGACAAATTAGCAATAAGCAGATGATTGATTCTCGAAATAGAAGGTGTAAAAATGGAGAATTAGAGGCCAGCCAGATACTATAAGCCTTTTTCAGAACATCATGAGTCCATACTTATTAAATTATCAGTTGAATACCTTGAAGATTAACAATAATAACCAGGCTCCCTTTTGACATATAAGACTCTTGATGTTTTGCAAGTGCTTTGGTAAGCAAGAATGATGTTGAGATGGAGAGGAAATAAGTGGAATGGATTAAAGGGAAGATAAACAAGCTCACCACCCAAGAAAGACATCCAAGGGAGATGTTAGCCCCAAAGAGTCTAACGAGATTTAGTAACTCACCACTCTAAGGAATCCACCTAAGAGATGAGAACAGAAACCACTTGAGAAACATTGTGCGCACCCAAAGCTTCCAAGACATGATATATATAGTGGTAGGCTTTGATCGACCCTCCAATGATTAAATCTAATCAAAAGAAATGAAAACTAATTAAAGACTCATACAATAACTAAAAGTCATCTACAAACTCCAAAAGGTGAGCATTTTATTCCAAATCGGATAGAGCAGTCATTATGACTTTTCCAAAAAGGAATGAACATAACTTCTTTTAGAAAACTTTAAAATTGAACACCGTAAAATATCTCGGCTTCCTAACTGAATAAGCTTTTTAATGATGTATCATTTACCTCATGAATATCTCAGAATGAATCTCGAAATTAATCTGAAATAAGTCTCAAAATTCTGGTTTATTAGACAACTAAGGGACCACTGACACTTGACTTCTCTTGATTCAAAGTTTAATGACACTCCTGTGTCAAAGAAGTAGCCAATTACTGACTTCTAGTGCACTATAGCTCTGAAAGGATCACATTTGAATCTCACAACACTACAAAACTCAACAGGAAGCTACACGTTTAAGAGTTTAAAATGCACTTTACATAACCTAGTCCTAGATAAATGACTCCACCTATACCGAAACCTAAGCCAACCTAATTCCACATCATCCTATTGGGTCATCCATTTCTCATTTACTTGTTCACTTCCTCTAAAATCTCAATCAATAGCTGCTGCTTATTGAAAAAAGAATACTAGGAGAGATCAGCAAATACACAGTTAGAAATATTAAAATTTCTATTATAAATATGAAATTTCCAGGCACTGAGTGATGATACAAAAGTTTCCAAGGTATCCCTTAAGAAAGAAACATAAAAAGAACAAACCTAAGCATACGACTGCATCAACAGCAGAGCCATATCTATACAGCCAGTGAAAATTGAGTTTGCATTACAGCTATCTAATAACCATTTTTGGCATAATATGCTTTCTATTTTTAGCACACAATACAAAAGGCAATGGCTCGGGAAAAGGACATGGTGCTTGTTAAGTATCTAAACACAACGAAAAACAAAACAATAATAGAACTTATTCAAGTTGTCCTAAAATTTTCTTTTAGTAGGAATTAAGTCGTCAAATAACTGAAAATTCATGTTTGTGCTCAATCTTCCAAAGTTTTTTCATCATCAGGGAAATTTTCTTTTCTATACAGTCTAAAGAAGAAGCAAAAACATGAATAAGAACTCATTTCTAGAAACCTAAAACCAGCAATTCATGCAAATATTTCTCAGAAGTTAGAATTGCTCATTGGATAAGTGAGGGAGAAAACAGTAACCTAGAAATCCGAGTCAAATGAGCATAAAATTTCAGAACAAGTATCAGGATAGAGAATATTATTTTTTTTCTATATAAGAAATGTTAGCAACAACGAACGAATCAAATCAGACAGCTAAAAATGCAACCCAACCAGTAATTTTATGACGCGTGACGAACTTCCGGAAAACAGGAACTCTCAGAAATCTCGCCACACAATCGTACAATTCAAGAGATAAACCCCCACACACCTTCGCATCGTCGTGCTTCTTCTGCAGTAGCTGATTCAGAACATCAATGCACTCTTGGAGCCGCCGGCTCTGGAACAGGAAAGCTGCCTCCTTGGCCAATCCCCGGGCGTCAGAAAGACGACTTTCATCACTCACAGGCCCATCCTTGCTTCCGGCCAAAGCCGTTGCCGCGGGAACAGTCGACGATTCCTTTGTTTCCATCCTCAAATCAGACTGGTCCAATCGAACTTCCAAGTAACGGGTAAAGTAGAGGGACGGACAAGTGGGAGAGATGGGGATCAGTTGGGACGAATCGGCGAGATTAGGGCGGAGAACGGGCGAGGATTTCAGAGGCCATGGTAGGGTTTTGGGGAGAAGAGGGTCGGAATTGGGGTTAGGGTTTGGAAACGGGGATGGAGAGGAGAAAGAGTTACGAGAACAGCTTGGTCTATTACACTTTAGGAGGCCGTCGGCGAGAAAGGGAGAGGCCGATACGAGGGGCGGAAGCGGAGGAGCTTTTGTACGTAAATAAGAAAGGAGGGAGATGCAGAGACGCAAAAAGAGAGTCGGGGAAATGCACCGAGAAGATAGAAGGAACGAAAACGGGAAAGGCTTTGATTGGACTTCCATCATCGTTAGCACGCGATAATCACGTGATTTCGATAATAAATTATATACTTGATTTATAACCAAACGCCCGCTTCATATCTTTCGACCACTACTCACGTGCCGAATATATATATATATATATATATATATATATATATATATATATATATATATATATTCTTTTTTTCTTGTTACCAAAAGCAAAAGCACTCTTAGTAGTACTGCAAGGTCCTCCCGCCAAAAAAATGGATCTTCAAGTCCTGACATGTCTGGTTGCTTTGTTAGCTTCCATGGACACATGGTTAACTGAAATTTCATCCATGAAGGACATCAACACAAAAATATCACTGAATAGAGTCACAATCATCCTCATATTTACTGGTGAATATTAAATTTTCATTCTACTAATAATACAATCTATTGTTGTCAGTGTATATGTAAATTTGAAGGTAAAATGCACAAATATAAGATGTAGTTACAGTCATAATGAATGCTGTTAAATTTACATTCAAAATCAAGCTGAAAATGTGCTAAATTGAACAAACACCATAATAAATTACAAAATCACTTTTTTATAGTATCATCAATCTATTGGAAAATTTTGAAACAAACCAACAGATTGAGGAACTGGAAGATCACGCTTAGATAGTACAATCTCTGAGGGGCAACCAAGGGATGAACCGCAAGGAAACGTTATCCATGGAGGTCATCCTTCATCCAGCTCCAAGAATGTGTATCGAAAACAGATTCAAAATGGATAAAGAAAAAGCAACTATATTACTAGTACAGTTGGTACAAAGAATAACAATGTGACACTTAAGCACGAGAGCTCTCAATACATGCGTGGTATGCCTATCTCACTGTGTTTGATTGTTTGATGTCATAGTCGACTTTCTTTCAAACATTTTGCTACTAACTTCAGCTTTTGCAAGGTGTATCAAGAAGGTAATTGCTAGAGAAGTTGAACAGATTAGCATCAGAAATACACTGTTCCATCCTCTAGTTGAAATATAGCCTGTAAGCAAAGGTCCCAATGCTGCCCCTACAGATCCAGTAGCATCTATAATTGCTGTAACAGTGGCCAATGCTCGAGAGTTCCCCTTAATCACGTCTTGAGTACCCAAATCAGCTGCAACTGCCGTTGTTATCAGCGAGTAAGGCCCATTAACAAAATATCCGGAAAGAAACATTAAGCTAATGTTGAGTTGCATTGATATGCTTCCATATGATCTGTAAGCAATAAGCGCTGGGATTGAGAAGAAAAGGAAAAAAATAGAAGTACAAGCACGGGCATCAAGCCTATCCGACATTAATCCAGCTGAAACTCCACCAAGTACACCTCCAATATCAAAAATTGTTGAAAGGATTCCTGCATTTTTATGTGATACATGCTTGCCAGCAACATCTACAACAAATATTTGCATGAGTTATTATTACAATATTTCAAAAAAAAATTTCTCACTGACATGTAGCTTTAGGATAATAATGTATCACATGACTTGTGCTATTTTCTTGACAGTAAGTTTCAAAATAATCTAAAATTTATAAGATTCCAGTTAAAAACTTGAAAACTAAATTATATTTTGTTACAATTGGATTTATTTGAATGAAACCATCATTAGTTCTAATCACTTATTGTTTGACAACATTGAATATAGGTTAGCATATAAAATTATGATTCTGATCAAACTAAAAGAGCTTTTGTTTAATATACTAATAAGAAATGGTAAATGTTTAACACTAAGCATGGCATTTAAATCTGACAGAAGATCAGCATATGCTTAGCAACAAATCCAATCAAATCCAAGCGAAGTACACAGAATTGTTACTCTGCAACATTGTAGCGAGCAACGAGATTCATTTCATTCACACTCTTAAATTTGTGAATTTCTGCATCATCACTCCTTTAGGAAGAAGCCAATTGATTGTTCTATGGATTGTGCCGTGAAATTCAGAATTAGTATCAATGTTTCATGAGCTTTGAAGTTGCCTTTGAAACATTAATTTACCGCACATATGTTCTATAATCTCAGCCTTCTTAGCTGATCCAACTTGCAAACACAACAGACTTCTGTGAATTGCAAAATCTTGTTGGCTGTTAGTGGATTTATGCAATGTGCATCTTCTTGATATGTGTGTATTCTTCCAGTCTGTTTGAGCAGGGTCTCACATGCTTCACATGATCATTGATGGAACTACTACACATTCTATTGGTTGAAATTATCTTGAAAGCAGCTACTTTTTGTTGTCGAATTTCAGTTCCTATTACATTCTCTTAATACACACTACCTAGTCTCAGGATCATATGATTAGACTTTCGGATGTCTATCTACTTGTCCCACTTTTGCTGGCATGTCCATGTTTCATACTTTGAAACAAGGTTCGGTGTGCTTGTTTACATCATCCAGAGTTTATAATTTGTCTGTTGCCTTCAACCCCTCAAGAGTCCTTCACAAAGTGCATACTTTCTAATACGTGCAGTACATGCCCATCCAGGCATGTACCATGATGCAAACAAGCCCAAATAAGGGTGGTATACCACATGAGAACCTTTTGGTCACACGATAAGATTATCACCTTCTATTGAACATCTAATTTCAAGAAAATATGATACCGTCCAAGAGACATAAGACACAGATAAGTTTAAAAAATAGGTAGATTAATGGGCAGAGTGAAGAGATGGATACAAGAAGAATTATAGGGGAAATAATCATCAAGACATCACCCAATGGCTTACCACCATCATGTAAATAGACTGCTAAGATTAGAGACTACTAACCTGACTTAGAGCAAAAATGTACCATCAGCACCGATCACCAACATCATCCTTCCCTCGACTTACTCCTACTCGGGTCTATAGGGGTGGTTAGCCATCATATAGAAAAGAATAAGCCTCTTTAAGTCCAAAAGGGAGTCCAAATTGTCATCCATTTTGGACTTACCCCTAACCTCGTATAAGCAGGTCAATCTTCAAGATGACCTTTTATAGATTTGAGACTAATATTTAGACCTTCAAGATGACTTTTGGTAGATTTAAGACTGAAATAAGTATTTAAAAATCAAGTTGTATTTAATTAACTCCTAATCTAACTAACTCATCAAAAGTTGAATGAAGCCAGTCAAACTATTACATAAGTCAGAATAGACATCAATCCAGCATCCTTGCATGCCCAAATAACTAAGGTCAAATCATAGGCCAATTGAATACAAAGCCCAATCAATGACCAAGTTGCAAACCCATGCCCTTATTTTAGAGGACGGTTGGGCCTCTAACTTGGCCAGACCTAGTTCCCGCTTGGTTGGCTCTATGATGTTCAATATAGAACCCTTTTATGAGGCCAACTCATTCGACTGCGGATGTGTTCACCAAAACCCCCTTCCGAGTGTTGTAAAAAAAAATACATAATGAAAATACTGCCTTTTCAGCCTCATCTTATCCCTAAGGTGATAATTATGAATTGTTGGGAAATAGCGTAATAAATTAAGACACAGTTAGATCTCTATTTATTCATTTATATGTAATATTGATAAGGGAATTATTTGAAACCATTTAGAGATAATTCCCAGAAACTTCAAAAGCCTAGAGCTTGGCCTTCAGATGTGAACAACTGTGTTTTTGCTGGAGTTGGAGGCTTTAGCAGACTGAAATATTTGATTGCTTGCTGAGATGTATTGAGTTGATCCTAGGCCTGCTACTAGTTTGTGGTAATGGTAGTACTATGTAAGTCGCAATACGTTTACCATTCCCACTTTTTGGTTTTTCGTCAATATTCTTCAACTTAAATTGCTTTCTCCTGTGAATGAAATTGATTGACATCTTCTCATAGTTTTAAGTATTTCAAAGCTACTTTTGGAGAGACATCCAGTGCTCACCGGTCAGTGGTTGAAGGCATCCAGAGACATGGTATGGTTGAAGTCTTGATGATGCTATGCTTCATATACATATATGTGAGTTAAAAAAGGCTGATCTTTCTGATCAAAGTAATAAATGCATTAGTCTCTATTAATTCTTAAACCTCATTATCTAGGGGGAAGGATCCCCTAACAACCCCTCAAATAGGGGAGGACTCCAGAAGCAAGGGCTACATCAGGGGAAGGATCCCCCTAACAACCTCTCAAAAGGGAGAAAAATTAAACCACCGATATCCTGCCTAACAATTCTCTGAAGGATCCACTTCTTGTTGCAAGGCATGAAGATCTCTCTGTTATTAAAACTAAGTCAACATTATATCCACTAGAGTAATGACCATTTGATTCTTAATACAAGTCATGAACTTTATAACCATAAAGGTAGAGCTTCATGGAATGCAAAAGTACTTTTGTAAAATCAGTTTAGTAAAACTGTGGGGACTGCATGGAATCTCCTTGAGGCTCTTCATTTTATTCTATCAAGCATTCACGACAACCAAGTCTTCTCCTCATCTTTAAGGTCCAAAAGTATTAATTTACTAGGCTCTTTACATTTGTGTCCTAAAATCCACTGCTATTCACTTTGGCAACATATATTGTTCCTTAGCCATTCTATAAATATGTTTTTGGGTATCATAAGAGCCTAATAAGCCTAATATGCCATGGCCAAATTTGATATTTTAGGTTTGAATAGATTTCTAAGAATAATTATACTGGTCTGGAAAACCTAAGGCATGGTTAGCCTAGACTCAACAATGGGCATTCTTGGACATTAAAATTGCTTTGAGGATTGACAATATTGGAATATTTTTCAACCCACCTTCACTTCTAGGAAGGCCTTTAAGACACTATCTGTCAATAAACAGTACTTCAATCTGCTAGGAAAAGATTTAGACCACCTTATGAAACTTGCAAGCAAAATTACTATTCTTATTAAGATCACTTGATATCACATCGCGTGAACTATTATGCAAGTAGATTAAAATCTGTCATCTGGTTGACCATAATTGTACGACCAAAGTGCACTACGATAGCCTCCTTAAACAGAAGGTAATTGATCTTCACACTCTATGTAGGCAATGATTGTACCAAGCAAGTTCAGTGCCAAATGTAAGAATGCTGAGGCAACTTTTTAGTCTGCAAGGATCCTTATATAATCCAAGAAAAGGTCAACCTTGAAAATCCACATTATTAAATTTGGAAGAGTCAATCTTCGCCTGTTGATGAGTAATATGTCTTTGCTCTACCAAATGTACCATCGGAAAGTAGCAAAGAATCGACAAAGAATCTATTGAGGATTCAGTATTTCCAATTGGTGCAAGGATAGCTACTTGGGGAGGATTTAGGAGCGCAATATGGTGATGACTTCGCTTCCAGAAGCAGCATATGAGGCCCGTAAGGCCGTCCTTGAAGGTCAATAATTATAAGTTGTAGCTCAAAGGATAGCCATCAAGTAAATATTTTTCTCTACACCTACCAACTAGACAACCACTCCTCGGACCTTTGCTAGCCACAGTGAACTAGTGAAGTGCCAAGGATGTCAGGTTGATACTGATCATATGCTCGAGACATTGATTTAGTCATTCGACATGATGGTGTTAAAGTCAGTTCAGTGTCCATCTTGGCTTTCTGAGCTAAAGGTACCACTTCTTACAGCTAAAGTCAGACATTATTAGGTCTGACCACTTGGTGGGAGCTGTCATCCTCATAATCATCCAATTGATATCAATTCCTCACTAACATGTGCTAAATAAGGGAGAGGGTGTATTATCTTATTGAAGCTAAAGGGATTGGTTGAATCATACTTTTATCTTGTAGACGCAAAGAAGATACTGCAGTCACCATCTTGTTTACAACAATATTGTCAAAATCGGAGTTGATTGAAACTTACTATGTTTCGATCTCAGCATTGATCATTTCGTATTGGTTGCTGATAACTCACAATTTAATTGTTGAATGATCTCATCATGTCATTTCTTGGTGTATCTAGTGATGAGTGAATCATCATCTGAAAATACTCATTAAGAGGTCTAGAAAATTTTAAGAATAAAAGTTTAACTGAAAATCATAAAAAATAGATAAATCCAATATATTAAGGAAATCAGTTAAAAGATCAACTAGAATTAGCTCTTCACTGTCTTATTTGAAATCATCTCGATCATTAGCTCACTAGTTCTCCACCCTGGGCAAAAATATAACGGATGCAATGTTAGCCTTGAGGCCAATAAAACACTAGATATTTCAAAAGTGATATCATTCGCATCTCATCTCATAGCATGGTGCCTATGCCAAAACCACCATTGTGGACACCATGGCTGCTGCTATGACTGCCTTCCGCAAACACTAGCAGTCGAAATTTTCGTGGTAGTAAATAGCACATGTATGACATAGAACTGCAAGATTTTACAATTGATAAATATAATGAACATGCATACTTCCTCTCTGTGTTTGCGAAGTTTTCTTGTAGGCATGGATTTGAGGGGTAGCAAAGCAATCTATATTCATGTCTCCAAAGTCAAAGTCTCTATTAAATCCAAATCTATGCTTCAGATGCTTCTGATGTTTTCATGTTATATTTCATAATATCGAAAGATCTTTTGTTATGCTTATCTCAAGTAGTTTGTCCAAAATTTGAACTATGCCATCCGCAAAAATTTTGGGACATGTAAACATCTTCTATAAATATAGCAGAGTTTAAGTGAATCCCCAAAAGCTGAAATAACAGAATGCAGACGTACCAGTATGGCGAATATAGAATGGCAACCAATAAAGGAATGTGTATGCCACGAGCTTGGAGAAGAAGAGGCAAAATGCAAATGGTGCCACACCGGGCAACCTCCATGCCTCCAAGAATCCAATTGCTGTCACCGGATCCGCCTCATGCATTTCCTTCGATTCAAGAAGACCCATCTCCTCCCCAATCGCCTGATCTAAATCTTCCAATTCTACAACACCAGGTTCATTCATCTCGATCTCCATGGTAACAGATTCAAACCCTAGATCTCCTGGATCAGAGACCAAGAACGCCCAGACAAAGACTCCGACAACGGTGATGAGAAGCCCCGGAAGAAGGAACGACCAACCCCACCCGAAATCCAGCACAGAGGAGGCGATGATGGAGCCCAGGATGTTCCCGACGGAGGTGTTGGAGTTCCAGACGCCCATGATGAGCCCGCGACTCTGCGACTTTCCGAACCAGTTTCCGACGACAGCGACAACGCACGGCCAGCCAATGGACTGGACGAGCCCGCTGATCACCTGGACGGCGAGGAAAAAGCTCAGGCGGTGGACGCCCCACCAGTAGGCGACGCCGAAGGCGGAGGTGGAGGCGCCGCTGGCAAGCATCCCGAGGGCCAGGAAGCGGCGGATGTCGACGCGGTCGGCGACATGCCCGGCGAGGTACATCCCGAAGGAATAGGAGGAGAGGAACGCGAGGTCGAGCTCGCCGAGGCGATGGGGTCCGCGAGGGCCGTCGAAGGGCGGCCATCCGCCGCCGCCGGAGGCTGAGGACTGCGGCTCGGGGCCAAGGACGCTCTTGACGATGCTGGGGGGCTTGCGGGAGGCGTGGAAGGCGGCGTATGCGGAGAAGGTGAGGAGGAGGACGGAGATCTGGTGGAAGAGAAGGCGGCGCCGCTCCCGGGGCGGCGGCCCGACGCTTACCGCTTCCATCGCAGAGCCGGATCTCTCGGGTTCGGTGGTTCGGAAAATAAGTAAAAGATTAGAATTTTTTTCGAAAAAATGTATCTAGAAAAGTCCTACTTGCTTTCACTTTTCATAAATATGATAAATTAAGAGAGTCTTTGAACCTCTGTTCATCTTCTAACATCCGACTGCAGTCCTCCTGCTTACTTGAGGGGTTCAAATCGGTTCGAACAGAACCGAACCGAACCGAACGTTATGGACTGAAATAAGAAATAAAAGCGGAAATTTATCCTTTCATAATTCTATTGTGGTTTTATTTCTAAGATGTTTTTATTTGATATATATTTTTCTCTGATAAAAAACATAAATCGTTTCATATTTACTAATAATAATAATAATAATAATAAAACGGGAGATTTTGTCCTTATAAATAATTGTTTTAAATCTATTTAATTATTTGTGTATTATCTGAGATAACTCTTCATAGATTTTGCTAGATAACAAGAATAACCTAAGGTTTGGTCACTATGGTTAGTCAAACATGACCTTATGGTAGGTGTAGTCATAATTTTAAGCTCACCATGTCTCGATTGGACCCATATGGCTGGCTCATGTTAGCCTATATAGGGCCGTGAAGCAACCCTAAGCTTTGCAATGCCTAATTTATGGAGTGTTAGGTGAAGGTTGGTATGTTCCTCATGCACTCTTACGGTTAGTCAAACATGAGCTTTACAAGTGGGTTGTGCGCTCGTGAGCACGATATAATTATATTATCTCGCTCGTGTGCCTAAATCTGCAAACAGATTTGTGCTTATGTTGGCTTGTATTTGGACTCAAGCCTTTGCCCGTGCATAAATATTGGGCCATGTGAAATCTAGATATAGTTGTATTATTATCATCATGTAAGCTACTCTCTGTAGTGATTATTGATATAAATGGGACATGGTGTGCTACAGTTGCAAAGCTTGGAAATAGAAACTTTGTATTTGATTATTGTTTTTATTGTGTACATCTAAAATATAATCTAATCAATCTTATAAATTGCGATATTTACAAAAACAAAAAAAAAAGGGAATTGTAAGATTTAGGAGGAATATCTAATCTTCTCTAATGGTAAGAATTATCATGATCAATCAAGAGGTATAAAATCTCTTTTACATAGGAACTTTGATGATGATACTAATAAATTGATTGATTGACCAAAGAACATAATTGATGAGTATATATTATGTCTTAGTGTACTATATATTATAATTTAAAATTTATCCCTATAATAATTAGTGTTCGTATATAGAATGATGGAACATAATTCTAAAATTTAGATATTTAAAAAATTATTTTTCATAAGATATGACTCTACACATATTTCTATGTCTTTGGTAAGAATTCTCCTGTTTAGATTCCCAAAAAATAAATCATAATTGCTCATGTCACATACGTTTAGATTCTCAAAAAATAAATTATAATTACTCATGTCACATATTAAGAAGTTGTAATCGATCATCTTCTACAAAATTAAAGCCAATTTTCCACCTACTTAAAAACTAAAATTCATTTGAGATCACACGATGATGATGAGAGTTCTGTTTGAGATCCCTCATCACGAGGATCGTGCACCGAAACATAAATCGAGCAGGGTAGGAATCGCAACAAATGGTGGTATATCGATTAAATCAAATTGGGTGGAGAATAATCGATTAAAAAATTATTAGAATGGAGGATTGGATTTCATTGGTCATCTTTTTATACTTAACGATCAAATTGTCAAGAATCTATCTAACCCGTTTTACCATTCAATCTTATATTTTTCCTCTCATTCTCCATATTTCTTTCTCCATCTCTGTGGCCTTCTGTCACAGTCACCTTCTCTTGTTCTTATTGTCTTCGTGACTTTAATGGCTTCGCTGAACTCTCATTTCTCTCGACTTTTATTGGAGGCTAATCGAGTATTATAAGCATAAAATTATAATATGATATTTTTATATAAAAACTTATAATATCAAAAACTAAAATCAAATAATAATAAATCAAATATACGATATGTGCCTTTCGTATATTCAAATGTCACAACGATGTCGATCTGTAATTAAAGCTAAACTCATTTTCTCGGACAAAGGTAAGATGAGAGAAGATTTATAATCCTCTCATTAAGTCTTGTTATTTTATAGACGAGAGTAGAGGGTCTAAAATAAGTAATTAGAAGAATTATTTTCATCAATATCATCTCCTAAGAAATCTTACCATAATTAAATTTTTTTAATTTACTAATAATCATAATCAAAATCTAATCACATCTATAATATATCTTGTCTAATTAGATAGAGCCACGAAATCTATCATTTTCCCATTGATAAGATATAAAAAAAAGGTTAATTAAAATAAATAAAATAAATAAATAATTTTATTTACTTAATTAGAATTTAAAACTTAAAAAAATTATATGTGCTTATTATTATTTTTAAAATAGACCAATAAATCTAATAAATATAATACCACGTTAGTTTAATTATCAATGTGAGTCATAGCGGTTATATGCAATTGATCATACTTTCTTCTATGTATCTAATATTGTTAGCATTTCGTTCAAAATGACCAAATTAATTTATCTTGTTAAGATAATTTTATTATTACTTTGAACCATAATAATTTTAATTATGTAAATAAAATATTAATTATAATATCCACTCACATTATTATATCTTTTATAAGTTGCTTATAAACTCAATCGTAAGAATATATTTGCTTTGTAAAACCTTAATGAATGGATTAATAATTAATGCAATGGAACTAAAATTTTTAATTGACATTAATTATTTTTTATAATTTTTAATTATTAAGTATTTTATACCATAATACATATAACTATTAAAGTATTTGCTATTCTTAAAGAAAAAAATTACTATAATATGTCATAAAGCATATCTAATGATTTGTCAATTGAGTCTTACTACACTAAGTTCTGAGATAAAATTTTATAATTAAAAAATTTGATTAATAGCGTCAAAGCATGTCACAAATCAACTTCTATAGTTGGTAATGTAATAATATATTACTTTATTTTTTCTTATAAATTACCCATTCAACGAATAATTATAAAATGTAAAGCAACCTTACTGTTAT